GGAGGCTCGTGGCGCTACTCTGTCTCCGCCAATCGTCGCCATGCCTGTGAATCAGTCGAGCAGAAGTTTGGAACCATCGCCAGCAGTAGACCAGTCGCCTAATTGCCGGGGGCGTAGTGCGTTGTCAGAGAAGAGGATGGAGATCCAGTCGCCGGAATCGCAAATCGGGAAAACGGCACCGCGATTGCCGACTCCATTCACGACGGTGCGGTTGAAGTCGAGCTCGGGAATGGGATGGTCTCCTCACCACTCGCCGAGCAGGGGGCCACCGGAGAAGAAGCCGCAAGCAGGGCTGGCGCTCGACGTGACTCATAGCCGTCGGGAGGACTGCTGGGCGGCGGAGGTGGAGACATCGGCGGGCGGCGTGACGAAGAAGAAGAAAGACGGTGGCGGTGAGCTTCCGCACGCGTCGCCGGAAATGAAAGAGAAACCAGAGGTCGTCTGGGAACCTCGACGCGTACTGGGGTGTTCGCTGCCGGAGACGGAGGCACGTAAGGAGTCGACGAAGATCGAGTCGGCGACAATAAAAGGTGAGAAGGGTGGATCTATGAAGGAGGAGGCGGATGGCGGCTGGGTTTCTCTTCTCAAGACCCCTAGGTCACCCTCCGTCCGCGCACCGCAGCCGGCCGAGCCATTGGGCCGAATTGCCTGGACCGAGTTGTCCATGAGAATGGGTAGAGGGGGCCGAACAGACAGGGGGCGGGAGCTGGCGCAAGGGAAGAAGAGGGTGGGGCTCTTGTTTGGCCCACCAGATCAGTGGAGCGGGCCACTAATTGGGGTGGCTTGGGCTTCGTGTGGACCACCTCTTGAGCCGCACAAGCCAGAGATTGGAGTAGAGTGGGCCTTTCAAGTGTCGGGTGGCGAGTCCAATAAATGGGTGGACTCAATGAGGGGTGCAACAAGCGTCCCAACAGTAGTTGGGCCGAATCTGGAGGGACTTAAGCCCAACGAGAGCAATTACTTAAAGGAGTTAGGCTTGGTGAATAAGGAAGGTGGATTAATGGTGTTGGTAGATGGGCTTCCAAGAGAACAGGGCCGAAAATTAATTAGAGAGACAACAAAACAGAGTTATGGGCTTGCTCCAAGAAGGATTTCTCAAGGTCTTGATGAAATGGTATTCAAGGATGAGTTCTTGAACATGAACGAATCCTTGGATTACCCTAGTTACTGGAGGGCCATGATCGCGAAAGAGGAATTATTGAAGTTTGAATACTTCGATGAGGCGAGGAATGGGCCATCAGAATTGAAGATAATAACTTTGCCGTTACACCAGGAGATCGAAGAAGGAAGGCCAAGTGAAGAGTTGGCGCATGATTGGAAGAAAAGGAAGCGCAAAAGATGGAGAAGACAAGGCGTGATTTGCACGTACGAAGTGAAGAAGTGGGTTGAATCGATCAACCTTGAGGGCAAGGTTGGTCTCAAGGGGGAGGGGATGATAGAAACCGACTTTTCTGGATTTATCATAATAATTATTATTACTATAATTAGGATATTATTAGATATGGTAGTAGTCATTGAGTCATATTAGGATAGTCTATTAGGTTTTTCGAGTCTTTCGTTATAAATATGTACTTAGCACTTTATTCAGAGGCAGTCAAGAAGAATATTAAGAAACCCTTTCCTAAACCCTATTCTCCCAATCCTCTCAATTCTCGTTCCCAATCCCTCTAAAGGCCTAGGCCGATTCTCTATCTTTCTCTTCTCAAATCCCTAATTCTGTTCTTAATCCCTAAATCCCCAATTCCCGATAGAACCCTAATCACAGGTTCTATCACGACGACACAAGGAAAAACCGATGGTCATTGAACTCTGGTTTTTAGCAAACGCGTCATTCGAAGTTGGAAAAAAAATTGACATAACAATCAAGTTGTCTATTATCGTCAAAATTTTTTTTAAAAAAAATTCAAATCGGTTAGCATGCCAACTGGACAAATTAGTAATAGAAATGTTATGTATGTCCTAATTAGTTGACACAAACAATCCATTTTGGCTGCTACTCGATCCAAATCAGATCTACTTCGATTCATTTCCAAGTCAGATTACTGGAGACAAACCCTTACCGCTTACACAGCAATCGATTAGATTGTTTAAATGGAATTTATCTATGACTTGTCTCGATGACTTGACCGCTGATAATTTGGACAATTTATCGGAAAAAGCTCGAGATAAATGAATAAAAATTATTATGTTAGTGATTTCAAATTTCATGTGGAACATTTCGTCTAGAATCAAAGTTAACAAATCAATTTGTTAGAAGCACAAAATGCGCTGACCGTTTATGTAATTCAACCTTTCACTTTGAAGACTCTCTGTTTTTCTTTTGCTTTATAAGCTAAGGCTTATACCAGAAAACATCAAAACATCATGATTAGTATAAACGTTAACTCAACTTATCTGAAATGTATCCTATAATTATTGCAAATTACACTAATTCAGGAATACGGTTAAATGATTATTAAACAGAAATGCAGACAATAAACAGAAATGGATGATTAAACTCTGAATTAAGAAAACAATAAAAAAATAAATTGGGCTGGTGGCCACTGCAAATTGTCTAGTCCAGATGAGAATCATCACAAGTGAAGGACACACTCGATATTATAGTCTCGTCTGTCTTAATGAATTACCAAATAACCCATTTAATTACTAAATCTCCACTGCCCAATCAGTGGCTTTGATTTGTTCCAACATGAAAAGAGAAGAGAAGAATTGATCATCATCATCATCATTAGTATCTGAAATGAATGAAAACACTTCATTATCACCATTGAAAGAAATTAATAAAAATGGGCAGGGAGTAGATGTTAATTAGAGGGGAAATTAATCACTAATTACTGGAGGGGGCGTTATTTAATAAATAATTTTCGTGAACAAGCTAGCTAGGGACAGGGGGCAAACGTGGGGATGACGAAATGGGTGATGGAATGGTTGAGTAAGATTGCAATCAGAGGGAGAGAAACTGAAGCCACTCCTCACTGTTGTGGTGGGTATTTATTTGTGTAGCAAAATGGGGATAAAATTATATATATATATATGGCAAAAGGAAAAAGGGAAAAGAACCACAGGAAAAAGAAAAAGGAACAGAAAGAATTAGAGCGATCCTGTTAATTATTAGTTCTTGGTTTTCCATTTTCCTTTATCCAGATGCCATTTTCATTTTTCATTTCCCACACCAAGTCAATAACCAAACGCGTGAATGGATATAATGCGTGGATGGATATAATTGGGAGAATGAAATTCACATTTGCATGTTATTCAATAAATACATTATCATTATCATTATTATTATTATTATTATTATTATTATTATTATTATGTATTTTTTACAATTATTATTATTATTATTATTTAAGTATATTTGAGACTGTATATGCATTATCAATAGTATTAAAATGATGCAATCTCAAATATCTGTATATGCATTTTCTTCACATTTAATTTATTGGGCTAGTTTGATAGTGCTGTAAATTTCAAAAACAGATTCTGTGTGTAATTTTTTTTAAATACTTTTCAACAAAAATAATTGAGTGTTTGGCTTATAATTATTAGAAGTTCTTTTTAATATCAGAATTATGTAGTAAAAAGAATTTTTAATATAAAATATTATAAAAAAGAAAATTCAAAGTGGTTTTTTGAATTTTCTTTATACTAAATAACATTATTATATAATTAATTTAGTTTTTAAATGATATACATGAAAAATTTTATGTTTTGAGAGGGAAAAAGATAAAAAAGCATAAGAATAATCTTCATATCTTTAAAACAGATTTTGGAGAAATTTCAAATTAGAGCTTCTATTTTTATGTTATATAAGCAGTTTTCAAAATTTTCAAAGATGGGCTTATAGAGGTATTTAACTCGACTTAACTTTTGAAGTAAAAAAACCACTTTTAAAATTCGGATCAAACATAAACACCAAACTAAATAGTGTTTATGCTATTACATGCAAAATGAACAAAATGTAATTGAGACAAATCACATCAATTCGCAAATGCATTGAACCCTTGTTATTATAATGAATTCTTGGACCTTTCTCTTCAATTTTGTTTGACTTATTTTGGACTTCTATAAACGGGATGTCAATCAATATTGACATTCATTTACATCATTAGCATGTTTGTATGTCTTTCTCAACACCTAGTTTGTTTTAATAATTTGAGGAAAACTGTAATTCGTCTATGTAATTCTAAATGTTGAAACAATTTGGACATAGAACATGTTCTTCATTGGTTGTTAGATGGTTTGAATGATAACAGTAATAAGTATATTTAAGTTTCGATTTCAATTTTGTGACCGATTTGGATCACCATGAATGAGATCGTGAGATGTGTACATGAGGCAATTGATCATTGGTCTTCCATTTGAACTAATCAGTTGCATAGTAGAAATTAAGAGAGGAGAAGGATTTAGATAAGGAACGATATGTACATCTCCTCCTCGAGATTTGAAGGTAAGAAGTCTTCTGCAGATTTAGTGACATGCTCTTGACTTAAAACTCAAATTCAACACAAATTCAAACTCCGAACTACATATTACAATTTGTCTCGTGTATAACATAATCCGTATAAAATCGATACCATCCTCTAATTTGCAAGTTGCAATGACGTCGGTTAATTACTTACTTTGGTAATCTATCAAGATTAACTCCACACTCTTACTATAGCTTACCATTAAATTAATGATTTGATTAAACAATTAATGATCTCCCACGCCCACAAATTGACAAAACTACAAAACACGCACAAAGTAGTTCCAAGGCAAGAAGCCGATTCAGCTCTTAAATCCCTTTCCCAAACCCTTTGGTGGACCCTCTCAAATATCCATCTTTGACATGTGTATTCCTCTATACACTCACTCCCTTCAATTTTCTTTTCTTTGTGTAAACAAATAGTTTTTAATTATATTATTTGTGTATTTGTAAGGTGACCTGTCACCCCCCCAAAGGACTTTATATAAGGGTTGGTGAAGACCCCTTTCTTCTCCCACCACCACCATTACTCTGTTTCTCCAATGCACATTGCCCTGTTTCTCTAATTCTGTCTCATCATCATAAGTCTTTTCTTCATTCCAAACGAATTACTTCCATATTTTGTGTCTTCTTCATCAAACACATGGGAAGGCAGCCTTGTTGTGACAAGCTAGGGGTGAAGAAAGGGCCATGGACCGCCGAGGAAGACAAGAAGCTCATCAACTTCATCCTCACCAATGGCCAGTGCTGCTGGAGAGCCGTCCCTAAGCTCGCCGGCCTCCGCCGCTGCGGCAAGAGCTGCCGCCTCCGGTGGACCAATTACCTCCGGCCTGACCTCAAGCGTGGCCTCCTCACTGATTCTGAAGAGCAGCTGGTGATCGACCTCCATGCCCGCCTTGGCAACCGGTAGGCTCTCTGCCTCAACCCAATAATAATATTACTACTAAACAAACCCCACAAATTTTATGTTTTTTTACTGTTCTATCGTGAAAGTCATGTGTTCATTGTCCATTCTTCTTACCTTTTTCAATATGAAAAGAAGTATAATGTTAATATAGAATAGAACTACTTGATGTTCTTTGAGAACAACTTTTACTGGAGAAGAGCATAATGAGAGAGATTCAGGGGTGGAGGGGGGGGAAAGGAAATGTGCCCTGCTTTTGCAATGAGTTGGTGGGAAAAGTGGGTCTAACGAGTAGTGCTATTCATTATTTTCTAATGGACACTTTTTCATAACTTATGAATTTGTTATATTATCGCACTACTTATGTTTTATTTGTTTATTTTGTTATATAGGTGGTCAAAAATCGCTGCTAGACTACCAGGAAGAACGGACAACGAGATAAAAAATCATTGGAACACCCACATCAAGAAGAAGCTTCTGAAAATGGGGATCGATCCCGTCACTCATGAGCCTCTCAACAAGGATGAATCCGTCGAAGAATACAACAAGAACGACAACGAGATTATTCCTGACAATGTTCAGGAAATTGTAACGGGTTCATCTCAATCACAACAGACTCTGCTTGTCGATGCTTATCAGAAGAGTGACACTAATGATTCCTCCCCGAAAACCGACAACTCTTCCTCTAACAACGACTCATCTTCATCATCATCTTCGTCGTTGTCATCTTCATCGTCCTCGTCAATCCTGTTGGACAACATTTACAATGATGATGGTTTGCTGATGAGCAGCTTGTGGTTGGATGAGCCTCTCCTTGTTGATCCTTTCACTAATCACCACCCTCCAACCCTTGTTACCACAAATGAAACTGCTAATCCTGAGATTACTACTACTACTACTACTACCTATCCATCCTGGGAAGATAGCTGCTCATGGCTGCTGGACTGTCAGGACTTCGGGATTCAGGATTTCGGGTTCGATTCCATCAACGATGATGACATCGATCTGAGCATCCTCAGCGCGTTGCAGATGGAAGAAAATGCCTTGAAAGAGTTGTTACAGTAGCAGCATGAACATGTTCATATGAAAACCATCAGAAGGTGTAATGTCATGTGTCATAACTAGCAGATGAAGAGGAAGGAAGCATTTGAAGGTAAATTAGGGATTGAGCTTGCAACTTTTGTTGTGTCCATATGGATCAATGGTTCTTGTTTTTCCTCCCCTTTTTTGAAAGACTAATTGGTTGGAGGACTGGAAAGTTTAACCTGAGAGGTTTACTGTCAACCAACCAACCAGGAAGTCATAGCCACAAACAGAAGAAAAAGAAAAGAAGTTACAGTTTCCAGTTAAAATACACCAAACCCAAAACCTAGTGTAATTTTACACTACTTGCTGTTATTTATTTTGTCCTGTTTTCTGTTTCCCCTTTTGGTGTAACGTTATGTAAGAGATAGGGACACATCGCTGAGCATTTTTTTGTCAAAATGCTGGTGGTTTGTTCTCCCCTCCTCCTATCGTTTGTAAATACAATATTTATGGTGTGAAATAAAGTGAATCAATTACTACACTGATCTTTTCTTGTAAATTTACATGGATAAAAACAAGCGCAGTGATTCCCAAAAGCTGCAAAGTTTCAGAATTCTTTTGTAGTGGATTCTGACGACCCATTATCCCTTAAGTTTCAGAGCTTTATTTGCTGTTCCTAATCATATCCCCTGCAAGTCTGAAACAGAGGGGAGTTTATATTATCCGAAAACAGAGCAAAAACAGGGGATGTCAGGGCTTATCCTTAGAATCTTAATCCAGGCCAATATAAGCAGGTTTTGTATTAAACACCAAAAGGGTGTGGAGAACAAAAAGAAAGAAAGAAAGAAAGAATGGTCCAGAAAGTTGAAGAGCTTTGGCTTTATGAGCAAGAAGGTCAGCACTTTGTTTATGTTATCTTCCAAAGCCTGAGTGAGTGGTGGTGCCCTCTGCAAGGTCACTACATGGAAGAAGCAATCAAAATGTCCTGAGTGGACCTTCAGTCCCCATATGACCTTTCTTCAATGCGACGTGTCTTGCTTGGCTACATATAATATTAGTTGAACAATGATATAAAAGTAGATCAGCAGAGTCATCAACATTTGAGTTGTGTTATCATGATACTGCTGGACTACAAATACATTTGGTACGTGAAGAACGATATGTTATTCGATGTTTTATGAATTTCGTCGAACTATTGGCCGTCGGAGGATGATTAGGAATCGGAAAGTAGCACCAAGGGGACCTCCAACTTTGGGGCAAATAGGCTCCTTTTCAGGGCCGGCCTAGAGGGTGTGCTGGCCCGCCCTCTGGCACAGGGCCTCCGAATATTAGGGGCCTCCACTTAGATCCGTTAGTTATCGATCGTATATTGTAAATTGTATTTTTAGTATATGATTGATTGATTATGAGTATGATGACGATTTTAATAGATAATTTTAGCTATAATAACAATTAAAAATGATATCATGAAGACTACGAAAATAAGAAAGATAATAGATAATTTTATGGGTAACGTCTATTTTTTAACCAGACCTTTTTCAGATTCTTTTATAATATCCAAACCTATCGAAATACTAAAAATTAGCCGAATGTTAACTTTCGGTTAGCATTTTTGTTAGTAATATTTACTTGACAACATGATACTGACTTGGAAGAGACACGTGAAGGTCAAGATTCCAAAATTTTAGTATTTTAACTAAGAAAAGAGTTACAGAATTATTAACAATAACGTAAAAATGACTAATATTTTGGTGCATTATGAAAGATTTGGCTAATTAATAAATTTTTAATAGGTTTGGATAAAATAAAAGAATCTGAAAAAGGTTTGGATAAAAAATAGACATTACCCTAATTTATTTTAAACTATGTAGAAAGATATTACAGTCATTTTAGTTTTATTATAGTTAAAAGTCAATTTAGACCACGTCTCAACTTTGGAACAAGGCCCCCACGAAGCATTAGACAGCCCTGTGAATTTGGTTTTGGTTTCTTTGTCAAACTAGAAACGTGATTATTTATTTCTTTTGTAATCATTTTCTGAGACTATGTATTTTTTATAATTATTTAATAATTTTTATTTTTAATTAATTTGTGGAGAAAAATTTTAGGGCCACATTTTAAATTTTCGAACAGGGCCTCCGAATATCATGGGACGGCCCTGCTCCTTTTCCTTACTCTCCTCAGGAGGACACATCGCCATATTCACCTACTGGATCCTCATAGGAATGTTCAGGAGAAGAAGAAAGTAGTTGGAGTTCCCACTGAGCAATAAGTAATGTTGCTCATTCATGTTCTTTATCAAAGGATACACCACATAAGCTTTCATATGGGCATTAACATTATTGATGACTGAGCTCTTTTTAGTGCTCTCCCTTAGTTCACATTTGAACAGGAGTGTGCATAAATAATGGTATCCAGCTGCCTGCTGCCGACCCATAACAAATTTGAGTAGTGTTTTTGGCCTTAATGTAAATGATGACAATTGTCAGAGCCAACATGGGTGATCGCCGGGCATACCTAGGGCTATGGCTGCAAATGAGGCTAATTGCTTGCGAGCAGTTCGGCGTTCGACTCGGGATAAACTCGTTCGAAACTCAACTTGTTTATTAACGAGCCGAGTTTGAGCTAAGCCTTCTGCAACTCACAGAGCTGGCGAGCTAGCTCGACTCGGTGGCTTGTTGAGCTCAACTCGGAGCTGATTCGTTTAGAGTTTATGAGATGTCTCAACTCTCAATATTGTGGCTAGAGAGCCGACTTGACTAACGACTTATGAGCGAATTGATCTATATGAGTTTGATTTTGATAATTCATTGGATTGTTAAATTATATATCTCATCATATGTGAAGTTTAACAGGTAGATTAGTTAATATTGAACACTTAACTATTACTATTTTCATCTTGACATTAATAACATGTATCTTGACATTAGTTAAGATTATTAAGCAAGCTAGCTCGAACTCAACTCAAATCGAGCTCAACTCGTTTATTAACGAGTTAAGTTCAACATGTGATAACACTCGACTCGGCTCGGCTCGGCTCATTTGTATCTGGCTAGGGCTAGTTGGTTGTGAACGATGTACAATATTCACAGTTTTCAGGAACCTGATGGTAGGTGGCGAGAGAAGAAGAGACAAAACCCAATATAGGAAAATGTAAGACTGAAATTCTATTGTGGTTAAAATGGCTAAAGATTATAAGTAGAGGTGATAATTAGTATTCAAATCTATAAATGTAATCCAATACATCCATTAGAACATTCAATTAATTTAATACATTTAAATTTAATATTATTTTATCTAAATTCAATTGGATTTGTGGATTTGTGAGTTTTGGAAAATTACAGTTTAGTATCTATACTTATATTGAAGTTTACATTTTGGTACATAAATTTTATTTTTAAATGAAAAACTATAATGGGAAAATTAAATTTTGGTACCTACATTTTTTATTATGACATTTTAGTACCTAAACTTTTCAAATTTTTACATAATGGTCCAATGCTTGGATGTCATTTGGATCCATCGATCAATCCACCAATCCATTTGTTTCAATCTATGAATCCACCAATCCATTTGATCCACCAATCCTTCAATCCATCAATCCAATTTATTTGTCACCTCTAATTATAAGTTTAAATCATCCATAATCATAATTGAGTTTGCAATCACGATGACCAGGCTTTACATTTGTTCATGCTAAAATCTATCTCGTTGTGGTGTTTTCTATAAAATAAAAAAAAATCCGAGAAAGAGTAATTGTATAGGTTAAAATAAGATGACAAAAACGGAGTTTACAACACACAATAATTCTTTATACTAGACCTGACATCATCGTTGTATCAGACATGTCCTTAAATTCAATCTAAAAATCAAGCGAGACTAGAATGTCGTACAATGATTATTTGTAATGAATCTATATATTCTCTCTAATGACATGGTTAAAATGGGGAGAGATGGAACCTAGCTAGATAATCAATATAATCATAGTAATAGTGACAGATTAGTAAACTTCTGGGGCAATGTATTTCAGAAATTGTATAATTATGAACGATGATTATGATGATGACTTGTGTCAATTGAAGGGGGTAATTTTCTTTGGAAGCAAGCAATTACTGAAGTCAGATTTTGCCCAACAGGATAAGGAAACTGATAAGTAAGCTCTGGAGTTAATTAACATAATAATTAGCACATATAGCTCGAGGAATATGAGCCACATTTGTATCCCAACAACAATTTGACAAATTTTTTTTAAGGGAACTAAACAACATGAAATGTGCAGTTTCTTGTATTGGAGATTAAGGCACGTAATTAACTTGATTAAACAACTCAAGAGTTGTCATTCTGAAAGCAGCATTTGCTTTGAGTTTTCGTTTGATTTCCAAGCTATCTAGCTTTCAATTGTAGCCGGTTTAATTTATAGATGTCGGAGAATCATGTCAAATTCAACAGGGGCGCTAAGAAATGTACAAACTGAAATTGCGGCAGCAGCAATTACATGCTGCTGACAATAAACAGCGCACCCCCATGGGCCATGACCCATCTACGAGTGACATAAAAGGTTATGCATAGTACATAACCATATTACTACAAAAGGGGAAATGGCAAACACCGATCGTTTGGATGCGGCATTTTGAACCTCGAAGGGATGTATAATTTTGGTTATGTGAGTATTTTGAAGCTGCATTATTTTGGTATATCTGACATCTTGTGTGGTATCAGGTTGGAATAGGGTAATTGGATCTAATTGTCTTGTTCGAATAAAACATTCAAATGTTACAGTATTTCACCACTTAAAGAATAGACAAAGCGAGTTAATTGAAATGTCTAGATAGGGGGAAGAGATATTTCAATTGACTCATTATGCATCATTTCGGTATCGTTTGCTTGTGGGATTTGAGTGATGGATTTGGCACCCAAATCCCAAGCATCAAGGACTTGCCACAAATCCATTGTTTGCTAAGGCCTAAGGGACACAAATCCCTGGGGTCCATGGATTTGCAAATCCCACATTTCATTTGAAACTGGATAATGGAAGACAAAATTGAGAGACAAATTCATCATGATATATGACAAAAATTAACTAAACAAACAATGTACTCTTCCAAATCCACAATGCAACAAATCCATCTTAAATTGTGAGACAAATCTCACATTTCATTTGAAATTTGATAATGGAAGGTAAAATTGTGAGACAAATCCATCATAATCTATGACAAAAATTAACTAAACAAACAATGTACTCTTCCAAATTCACAATGCAACGAATCCATCTTAAATCCAAAAAAATTTAAAACTCAAAACCCTCATTTTCAAATCTAACAAGCAAAAAGCAAAGCACCCGGTTTTCATAAACTTCAAAATACCACAAACCACTTTTTGTTTACCAAATGAGGGTGAAATAACTCATTCAAATTCTGAATTCAAATGGACCCAAAAGTAATTAATTTACAACTAAGGACTTGATAAGCAAGCACGTGGAAGTCATGCGCAGCATAGTCCGCAACAAAGAGTAAAGCTGCAGCCTGCATGGCAGAACATGGAGGGGGAAGGTAGGTTGAGAATTGAGATAGGGATACCCTACAACTAAACCGCCCACTCCTTTACTTCCATTGCCAATTAGGGCCATCATACCCACGCTTGCAAGCCTGCTGCAACGGCCCCAATCCCTCAAGATAACAAAAAGAATTCGTAATTTGCTTGATTTCCTGAAAGAACAAACCAATAGGGGTTGGCAAAGTGGAATGTTGACTCACATTATAGCCAAGAAGCTAAGGTGGTACGTACCTTTTTGTAGGGTTATTTTGTTTATTCATTTTAGCTCATGATATGCTTATATAGATGCTCTTCAGGAAAACACAAATCTTTTGATGATGATGAAGAAGCAAACTGCTTTCAAGTGAGACTTTGAAAGAAAACAAAGGTAAACTACACAGAAAGGGTGTTGAGTGGGTCAATATTATCATCAAAGGGGAAGAATACATAGCATATATATAGGGTGGTCATCTCCTTTGATGGCTATGTGGCATCTTCATAAAAACATATAGTGTCCAATTACTATACATCTTTTAATTGAATATCATAAGGTGGTCATCATTCCGGTATTCTTTCCCGTGTTTCGTGAAACTGTATTGTAATCATTGTACTTGGTCAATAATGAAGTTTGTATCAATTTTATCATGGTCTTCTTACCTCCCATTTCTTCCTCTCCTTAATTTGTATATAGCAATAACCATGGTAAATAAATATTTCAACTTATGTGAAATATAAAAAATAAAAATTTCCTGGATATATAGTGGGAAAATAAAAGAAGAATCTCCAGTGGGGACATATATAGGTGGGTTGTGATGAAAACTCTGGCACGTTGATTATGTCTTGTCCTGGAAACATCATGAGAAGAACACACAGGCTCCTGGGAAATGATTAGGTTTTCTTTTTTCTGCAGATATATTAACCCTCTGGTAAATTTTTGGTTGTATATTGGTGGAGGTGAGTGGCCCTTTGCTTCTGGTTTACCCTCAGTAGAAAGATGAGTGTCTCATTTTGTTTCAGAAGAACATTTGAACTGAGATGACACCTATGTGTACTACTGTTTTTTGTTCCAAAGTGCAAAATCATTATCAATGTATAGAGGTCTGTGGAGTTGTGGCCTATCACTCTTGTTGCTCTTCTTCTTCCACCTTGGAATGATGCCAAGTATGAACTCAAGAAATGGTTCCTCCTCAGTCCCCACTCTGTTTTCTCTTGCCATATTATTTTTATGTCAGCATATGTGTTTGGTAAGTTAAATGGAAGAAGAAGTGAAGAAAGGGATTTTCCTCGAGGTGATATGTTTTGTTGTTCTTATGGATTTTAGATATCATTATGATGTGATTTCTAAATTCTATCTTGTTGAGTTTCTGATCAATTATAATGTTTTTTTCTTGATCCACCTCCACCTTCCTCAAGTCAGTGTCGGAAGGGATGATAGTGACGGTTCAACAATTAAAGAACGGGACACTCCTGTGATGTGATCGACCATTTGATCCTTTGTAAATTTCATGTATGTTTGTGTGGCTTAAAAAAATATGTTGTTTGTCTTCTAAGTTGTGCTACATTTTGTTATTGGACTGCTCATATCATGACACAAATTTTTTTTTTAACTGTCTAGGATAGTTTTAGCGGGACATGTTATACGTGATTCAATTGCTTGTAATATGAACTTTTTTCTATCCATGTCCATTTATTGTGATATATATGGAACAAAAAAATAACAGTTGAATTACATTATTAACCCTCAAGACTAGGATGGGCATTAATCAATTCAGTCCAGAACTTAGCCCGGTGTGAAGTGTGAACCGAATAGTTACCTACCCCTACTCCACTACTCTTTTTTTTTATCATTAGCTACCTCACACAGAGGGAACAAAACCGGATAGAACTTGTAATAAAAAGACTCATACAATATTATATGACAGTAAAGCCATGAAACGAAATCAAACCACTTAAAAAAAGAAACGACATAAACAAGACATGATAAGTTACCAAATGAGCTATCCTATTCCAAACACAAAAATAATCGAATAATCCGGGGAAAACTCCACTGCTCGGCTGCTCCCACTAACCATTCTGTGGAAACTAATAAATAGTTTTGGGCTTTTGGCTGCAAGTCGCCAAGTAATTCACAACCTGACCTTGGGAACATCTTAAATACGGTTGAAATATTGCATCATTCAATATGGATCAAAGTCAGCAGGATAATCGGGCCTCTAATTTTGGGCCTTCCTGAATTTTCACGACCATCATAGACAGGCCCGAACTTTTTGTAACAAAATTCTGGGAGAATTAGCCGTATGAAGGAAGATTTCCTCCCAGAAAAGAAAAAGAAAAAGAAAAAAAGAAAGCTCGAGATTAAGCGATTGCATCTTGTCGCCCAAAACAAACACCAGAAAATCGCCGACGTACCCCGGCGCAGTGAGTTGGATCGTGAATCGAGCCTCGCCGCAAAAGGTTTCCCGGACTTTTTCTTCTTTCAGGTAGGAAAATTCGATTGCTCTATTGAAAGCCTGGTTCTTTTGGTTTTAGGTCATCGCTACTCTGAATTGATGGTTTGAATCGATACGAACTCGTTAGGGTTTTGTCCCAATAGGAGAACTTTGCTTCAGGAAAATCCTTGAATTTTCGACATGATTACATCTCTTTGCATGTCTGTGCTGCCTTGCTCTGGCAAGCTGCTTCGATGCAGATTGTTTGCTTTGGCTGTTTGGTTCTCCCGAAAAATTCCCTACCTTAGATTTAGACGAGAAAGCTTGAATGCGAGAGGAGTCTCACCGGAATTATTTGCTTCTGTTTCTAGTCAACCGCTGGAAACTGATCTGAACCCAGCTTCATCATCTGTTCAAATTGGTTGTTTGATCGGTTTGACATTGCAAAAGGTTTGGTAATTGGAATGAGCTTGTGGCTCAGCTCCAGATTGAGATCATACCACCTGGGCTTTCCTTTAGTTGATCAATTTTTGAATCTTTTTGTGTCAAGTTTCTCTTTTTACTCACTCATCGTAGAGCCATGTTCTTATCCTAATCTCTACTCATCTTAGAGCCATGTTCTTATGCTAATCTCTACTAGTTACAGTGCAGCTTCTTTGGCGTTACTTGAATTTGATAGATATACTTCTTTCTTTGACATTGAATTGTCTTAGCATTCACCGAGCTAAAACCAGCTCTTCATGATCGAGAAGAGGCTGCAATGTTCACGAAGTTTCATGTTGTGATCCAGCTTGAATTGTTCAATTACTTTCGCAGGTAAAGTTTTTGGGGTGGAGTTTGTACCATGGGGGACTTCACAATTAACATTACCAAGGAGCTCGTAGATCGGCTTGCTGGTTCTGACGAGAAAGTAAAGAAGAGAACAGTAAGGAAACCGAAACCAAAGGTATCAAAACAGCCTCGCTCGCCGCCTCAACCAAAGGAGAGCGAGAAGCAGCTGCAGCCACCGGCTTCTTCCGGATGGCCGGTTTTCTTGCCGGTTCAACCACCTGTCAAGCCTGCAAGTGCTGAACTGGATGCAATTCGATCTGTGGTTTCAGAGAGTGAGAAGGTTCTTGAGAAGTTGCAGAAGCAGGAGGAACGCATGGTGCAAGAAGTAACTGAAAGAGCCAAAGATCTGCACGGCAAGGAATTCAAGCTCCCGTACCAGAAGCCAATGCCATGCATGCCCGACTATGAAGCTTGCAGGGCGTGCTACAAGGAGCATATTAACGATATCCTCAAGTGCAGCCCTCTGACCAAGAGTTACTATGAATGCGTCCAGAGAGTAAAGCAGCAAGCAGGATCTGGAGATAAGTGAGTGCGTGTTTTACCTGATGGAGAGACATCCTCGGAGTAGTATACAGAGAATTCGGGAGCTAATTGCCAGAACGAGACAGTGAAAAATAATCTGATCATTGATCCCTAGGTTACCATTTTTGGAAATGTATGTCGGGATGGGAGCCTTCGATTGCCATCTCGAGTTTTCGTTAGATATTTGTCTCACGGTTTTTGGATATTGAAGGACTTGACAGGCTTGAGGAATTGAAGCCTAAACATTCGTTCGTTGCGCCACTAAATGTTGATTTTGGTATCTTGATCGAGCTGTCTATGATTTTGTTTCGCTACATTGAACTTTGACCACTAGTTATGTCGATTGATGTTCCCACCTTCTGCAGCACCTAGAGATATCGTCTGGTTCTATGGCGTGGCAGGGGTGGATCCCTGGCAATTGGTGAATCTTCTCATTTTGGTTCTTGAACTGTAAGAGTAAGATGGTGACACTATATTGATTGATGATCATTGCGATATGAGTTCATGGCCATTTTTTTTATTATGAATAAGAGACTCATTTAATCACATACTATCGATTTTACATCTGTTTCACTTTCTACAAACTCATTCTCTAAAGAACAACAAATAGGCCAAACTTACAAAGAATCACCAACTCAAAAACTTTACAGGCAACCTACACGACTTACTAATCACCATATCTCACTCATCATCAGATTCCACGCCTATCTCCTCACTTCACAGTGCTGCAGACTTTGAATCATTTTACTAACATCAGCCTGCCACTGACCCCTCAACCTGCTAACTAACTCCAGGGGAAGAACTATCTGCATAATTTGGTTAGTGTGCTCATAAGTAAAGAAGATATGTTCCCTGGATTCAGTTGACAGATTACACAGTATACAAGTATTAGATATGTCAGGGTTCCGTCGTTCGATTTTTTAAACCTTCAAGATTCTGTCAATCAAAATCAAGCAGGTGAGGAGGGAGTTCCTGGGAATCTGCTGTCCCGACCAGACCATATTTGACCAAGCAACCTTCTATCTACAAGGTCTAATACTATTCCCTGTGGTTTTCACCTTATACCTTGGCATTTGTTTGCCTTCCCATTGAACTCCTCTATTGGTAATCTGCAACTTCCCTGCAGCTAAGCTTCTGAGTTTAAGAATTTTATTCCAAATCCAAGAGCCCTTAGTCTAAACTTCCCAAATATCCAGATTTCTTACTACTTCACAACACATTATTAAAATTTTCTTCCTATTTATTTTTGCTAGTATTCAACGGCACACATTAAGAAAAAGAACAGTATTCGACTGTACAGTGTACAGGTACTGGTTTTAATATGGACTCAACTGAAAGATACAAAAATGGTTGTGGGTTAAAAGGGAAGAATTATAAAATACAGGCGGCAGTTGTCGTGGCTCTTTGTTCTGGACTTCTGGTGAAAATGGTTTGAGAAAGGTAAAGTGAAAAACGGAAGAGAAAGAAGAATTGGTCTCATCGGAGCGATTGACATAGGCGACGAGAGAGAGAAGACCCTCTGTCGTTCTCCTGTCGCCGTCCGGCCGGGCAAATTCTTTTCCGCCTGTCTATGTGTTCGGTGTACTTCTCTTGTGGCACTCGATTAGGAACAACGTAGAGATAGGTAGAGGAGAAGAGCGCACGGAGATCGCGAAGAGAGAATTCTGAATAGTTCACGCCGATCAGATCTTTAAAAGCTGCCGTTCGGCGCCGTCACCGGCTCTCAACGCTCGCATCGACGGCGCCGCCGTCGCACTCCACGTCCGCTTACGCACCTTCACCGTCCAACGTCTCTTCTGTCTTAAGTAGAGGAGTTCGATCCATTTTTGGTCCTCTTAGGTATCATCTCAAATTCCGAACTTAACTTTGTGGAGTTGATTTTCATTCGAGTTTGAGCTGGTAATTTCTCTGTCGAGCCTGGGTGCTCTGAGGCATTTCCTGTTCTTGATCGAGCTCATTATTATTATCCGCTTTCTGCAATGTGAGAATGGTTATGTTGTCGAATCCAATTTGCTTAGTTTTATTGGTACATCAATTTGCTTAGTTTTAGTGTCTTTTGGGCGACAGGTTTGCCTGCCATAACCACTGGTCCAGGTAATTGGTTCTTCCCTTCCATTTGGATATGGAGGAAGCACATGATTGTTGCTTCTCTATTGCAACTATGATCACGATCTTCCTGCTGGTGGTTGTGATTCGAGTGGTCTATGTCTTTTATCGAACTGGGAAGCCATTGTCCTCAAAATCTTCAAAGCCGCGGAGTACTTTGATTGTTCTTGGCTCAGGTAAGGGAGATAGCTCATCAATTCTTGAAATAATGTTGATTCTTCAGTTTATGAGATGGAATTTGTGTTGTTCTTTGTTAATGCAGGAGGACATACAGCAGAAATGATTAATGTACTGTCCGTGATGCAGAAAGCTAGGTTTACTCCTAGGTTTTATATAGCTGCAGCCACTGATAATATGAGTCTGCAAAAAGCTCGAGTCTTGGAGGACTCATTAGCTGATGAGGTATATTAGTTTCTCTAGTTATTTTTTCTCTTGCTTGATTCTTGATTGCTGCGATGAATTGATTTTACTGAAATGAACAACTGTTCTAGTCTAACTTGATTGATTGTTCATCACTTCATAAGAGAACCTGCTTCCCGTATCCATTAATCTTAGGTTAAGTAGGAAGCTCGATGTGGGAGTATGTTTAATGTTGAATCAATCGCTGTAAGTTCCAGTGTTATCATTTTTCCTCCCACTGGGACTTGACGATGCTGCATCTTTATGGTTGATTAAAATGTTGCTTCTGAGCCACAGATTAGTGCTTTCCTGCTCCTTTGCCAGTGTGTTAACTGGTTTCCTGAAACTAGCTATAAGTGGGAAATATATGATAGTCCCTATTCCCTGTTAGTGTTGATGTGGTTTTACCTTGAATTCTGCAACTAAGAGTCATTCATCCCCCATATTCAGGACAAGAAGGTACCTGCAGAGTTTATGCAGATATACAGAAGCAGGGAAGTCGGTCAATCGTACATAACCTCTATTGGGACAACCCTGATAGCCATTGCACATGCGTTATGGTTAATGCTTAGAATCAGGCCGGAAGTGGTATAAACTTTCTGCCACTATCTTGTCCTTGCACTCAATTACCTTTTAAACTCACTAAAGCCACAACTAGACTAAGCTTCCGTTCTATGAACTCTTGAAATTGTAGATACTCTGCAATGGTCCTGGGACGTGTGTGCCCTTGTGTGTGATTGCGTTTCTGTTCAAGGTTAAAATTCTCTCTTTCCTGCTCAACCACTCTATGATCTTCATAGGAACTTGCCTTGTAACTCATTCAGAGGTTTTAATTGCAGGTCGTCGGGATTAGGTGGTCTACTATATTTTACATCGAGAGCATTGCTAGAGTGAAGAAGCTGTCTCTAAGCGGTTTACTGCTTTACAAACTGCGGATAGCTGATCAGTTCTTTGTGCAATGGCCCCAGCTACAGAGGAAATACACTCGATCTCAATACGTCGGTTGCTTGATGTAGTAAGTCTATGATATCTTCTTCTGGTGGTAAATACACTGACAACTTCACAAGCTTTCTTCAGCTTACACATGAATTTTTTATCTGGTGGTGAGCCAAACTCGTATGAAGTGGCCGGTTAGTTACAAATCGGTTAGTTTGGTTAGCATTTGTCACAGTTTTGGGTTTTGTAACACAATTTCATTACAAACCTGATGGCCAGGTTCAGTGACTGTTTTGTCATTTAAGTATTTAACCCATAACAAAACTCTGCTAGAAGACTGAAATACAAATTTAGCATAGAAGGAAAATACCAACAAGTTACAAGTGTAGTTGAGGTGAAAATTACCGATAGTTGGTAAATCGTAAACCAATAGCTAGGAGCCGGCCTAGCTATCATTGATAACAAAAGTGACAACTGACAAGACAAACGCATACTAGTATCGATCACTAACAATCAGTGATTTTAAAACATTAGTAAAAGAAACTATTTATAGTCGATGGTTATTTATTTACCGATACTGTTATTGAATCAAGGCCGTAATGTATCCTTTCTTTTTATGTTTTGATTAATTATCTGGAAAATGGATTGTACTCAATACAAATTAAAGCCAATACAAAATGATTGAGACATTAGAGTATCAAGTCAACTCTATAACCACCTGCCAACCCACCAAAAAAACAATATCTCCATTTCGGAGAATCTCTTCTTCTAGTTAGAGCCGATCATCCATTTTCTTTATTATTAATTTCTTAGTATTATTAGAAAAGACTAGCTACCTGCCATACCAGCACTTAAGAATCCAACAAAATGTTGTGTCTTGCCTCAGGCCAAGTTCCTAATGTCAATTGCTGCATCAGTGAATCACGAATTCCATAGTTTCGGAACCCTATCCGGTCCGGAGTTTCATGCAAGCCTTTGACATATTGAATGGTCCGAATCGAATTCGAAGTTGGGCGCTCACTTATTTTTCTCCAAGTTCATTCGATTTATTGTGGTTGGTCAGTAATCAGATTCAAGTCATACCGGCCATTTGAAAGAGAGAGAAAAAAACATATAGAGTTGATACAGCCATACTGGCCATCTGGCCTCCTCCACAAAATTAGAGTACTACTTCCAACGACAACCTAAATATCTAATCCTCCCAAAAAAAAAGAAAAGGATGTGCCATACACTTATTGCCGTCCTCCCTCCGTCTTTTGATTCCATTGCCGTCATTAACTATTGAATTCCTCGCCCACAAAAATCCCTGTTTGTCATTTAGTCCCCCCAGTCCCACTCCATAAAAATGAAGCACCAGAAACTGCTCTACCATCAATTCTCCTCCACAATCTCACCGGCGTTTTATCACCACCACCACCACAATCATGATTCCAGCAACCGTCATCTTCACCGCGGCCATCGCCGCGATCCTCCTCGCCGCGATCTGGCGGTTCACCCGCCCGGCCAGCAAGAACCCGCCCCTCCCGCCCGGTCCGCCCGCCTTACCCATACTGGGCAACCTCGCATCCCTCGACCCGGAGCTCCACTCCTACTTCGGATCCCTGGCCCGGAAATACGGCCCAATCCTCCGCCTCCAGCTGGGCCGCAAGCTCGGCATCGTCGTCTCTTCCCCGACCGTGGCCCGCGAAATCCTCAAGGACCAGGACGTCACCTTCGCCAATCGTGACGTCCCCGACGTCGCACGCGCCATCGCGTACGGCGGATCCGACATCGTCTGGACCCCGTACGGCGCCGAGTGGCGGATGCTTCGGAAAGTCTGCGTGCTGAAGATGCTCAGCAACACCACCCTCGATTCCGTGTACGGGCTCCGCCGCCGCGAGCTCCGGCGGACGGTCGGGTACATGGCGGGTCGGGCCGGCGGGTCGGTCAATTTCGGGGAGCAGATGTTCCTGACGGTGATGAACGTGGTGACGAGCATGATGTGGGGAGGGACGGTGGTGGCAGGGGAAGAGAGGGAGCGGCTGGGTGCGGAGTTCCGGCGGCTGGTTTCGGTGATTACGGAGCTGTTGGGTCAGCCCAATTTGTCGGATTTTTTCCCGGCCCTGTCGCGGTTTGACCTGCAGGGGCTGAACCGGAAGGTGAACGTCGCCGGGATGAATTTCGACCGGATTTATGAGGAGGTTATCAAGAAGAGAGGGGAGATGGAAAGGGAAGGGAAGGAATCGTCTGGCGTGCCGGATTTCTTGGAGTTTCTGTTGAAGCTGGTGAAGGAGGAAGGCGGCGATGCCAAGACTCCTCTCACCATGACCCATGTCAAAGCCCTTCTTATGGTATGTTTACAAATTTTTTTCCCCCAATTGATTTTTCATATCATTTAGGTGCTACTAAACGAATTTGAGATCTTCAGGTTCAGAACTGATGGTAGTACTGGTGTCTGGTGAGTCAAGTCCTTATTCATAGCTATAGTTTTTAGTTTTTGAAGCTCTTGCTGAACCTAAATAGGAGTAAAGTAACGTAATTTAGTGTACTTATTCATCAAAATCGTCAAAATACCTTCATTCGAACATTATTCAAGAAGATGCAGACCGTGTTATTGTCGTTGTTCAAAAAGTCAAATGTGCAACTCATTAATATCAACAACACAAGAGATTCCTCGTGGAAAAAATCCTCTCACCTTCAATTACCACAATTTAAATCAACTCCCCGTGGTTCAGATTTTTTGCTCGACAACTGTTAGGACATAAGATGGTTGGCCATTAGTTGAAACAATAAAATATTTAAAGGTTGTTATGGGATCATGATAAATTGTGACTGGTTCTTGATTTGATCGGCATCAATCAAGACAACACTGACCCTATGAGTGGATGAACAAATTCATGGAGGGGCCATTAGTTGGCATAACAGCATATTAAATTAATTTGCTCGAACCAGAGAAAACAAATCTTTGATGATTCTCTATCGGTCGGCTGAAACCTTTCACTATATAGTTGACTTGATCTTACAGCGCTGTCTCTGTTTTGCTTGTGTTTGTAACCAAACAGGACATGATCGTGGGCGGCACAGACACATCCGCCAACTCAATCGAATTTGCAATGGCGGAAGTCATCAACAACCCACGAGTCCTCGAGAAGGCACAGCAAGAACTGGACGAAGTGGTTGGGAGGGAAAACATAGTGGAAGAATCCCACATCCACAAGCTTCCATACCTGAACTGCGTCATGAAAGAATCGCTCAGACTCCACCCGGCCCTCCCATTGCTCGTCCCTCACTGCCCGAGCGAGGACACCGTGGTGGCGGGCTACTCGATCCCTAAGGGATCGCGAATCTTCGTGAATGTCTGGGCGATCCATAGGGATCCTTCCATCTGGGAGGATCCCCTGGAGTTCAAGCCAGAGAGGTTCTTGGACGAGTCGAGATGGGACTACAGCGGGAATGATTTGAGCTACTTCCCGTTCGGGTCTGGAAGGAGGATATGTGCTGGGATCGCGATGGCGGAGAGGATGTTCCTGTTCTCGCTCGCCACGTTCTTGCATTCCTTCGACTGGAAGCTGCCCGAGGGGAAGAAGAGCGTGGATCTCACGGAGAAGTTCGGGATCGTGCTGAAGCTGAAGTCGCCTCTCGTTGCGATTCCTGTGCCGAGGCTGCCGAACCCGTCGCAGTATGAGTGATGATGATTGGTGCACGGGTAGAGGTAGCTAAGGCCTAAGGGTGCTTTTGGTTAAGAAATGAAACACAAAGGAGAACTCGTTGTTAATGTTGTTTTGACTTTTGAGTTTGTTACCCATAATTTAAGTCTCGTCGCTTTCGAGCTCGCACTTTTCTATAACTACTTTTTTTTTCTTGGATAATGTCTATTTTTTAACCAAAAAATTTCCAGCTTCTTTTATATTATGCAAACTTATCGAAATACTAAGAATTAACCAAATATTAACTTTCAGTTAGCAATTTTGTTAGCAATATTGACTTGGCAACATAATACTGACTTGGAAGAGACATGAAGGTCAACATTCCAAAATTTTAGTATTTTAATTAAGAAAAGAGTTACAAAATTATTAACAATAATGTAAAAATGGCTAATATTTTGATGCATTATGATAGATTTGGCTAATTAATAGAATTTTAATAGATTTGGATAATATAAAAGAATTTGAAAAAAAATTGAATAAAAAAATAGACATTAACCTATTTTCTTTCTTCCATAAACCTTTTAATTAAGTAATAATTCTAATAGATAAAATTCTTATCTTATGTTTTCTAATTAAAACTCAAGTATACAAGTACTTAAACTTGGGGATTTCGTTTTTCCATTTCTCCTCATGGGTGATTGCACTAAGCTACACCAATAATTACTCAACTAGATGATGGCCCGGCCCATTGGCCGGGTAGGTTTTAATGTTTTATGTTGTATCACAACGATTGCAAGTAGAGGTGGCAATTAGGATCCAAATCCATTAATCCAATCCAATTCAATCCATCCACCAAATTATCCACCTAATCCAATCCATTTAAATCCAATCCATTTGATCCAAATCCAATTAGATTGGTAGATTCATGGATCAATCCATGAATCCAAATGGCTAATTACGATTTGGTACCTATATTTTTTATATTTTACATTTTGATGCCTAAAATTTATATTTTTATACGAACAAATCATTGAAAAATTACATTTTGGTACCTAATATTTTTCAATATGGCATTTTAGTACCTAAACTTTTCAAAATTGACATTTTTGGTCCAAGCCTTGTATGTCATTTAGATTCATGGATCAATCCATCAATCCATTTGATTCAATCCATTTGGTCCATGGATCCACCAATCCAATCCAGGAATCCACGAATCCGATCCAATTGCCACCTCTAATTGCAAGCAAACGATTTCTTTAAATTATGATAGAATAATAAATTTTGAAAATTTCTCGTCATGTTGAATTATAGAAAAGTAGAATTTGTAAACAACCACATGTTCATAAGCTAAATGATACTAATAGAATTATAGAGTGTAGCTGCAAAAGGCTTTCTACCTAAAAATTGTAATAATGGACAATCTCAGCTCGATATTTGATTGATTTTCAAATACAACACAATTTGATGAAAATATTATATTTATATGTTAAATATAATATATGTTAAAGAAAAATAATTATTAGTTCTAGACAAAATAAATATACATGTATATAATTGGGCGGATTCAGGTCAGGTTGGATAGTGATCAAATTATTTCCACTTATTATCTATAATATTTGAATTTGAGTTTTACCCATACCAACTAAAAATGATGTACCCACTAATTTAACCGTTGATGAATCAGTAAAGCTTGCTGATGTGGTTAAAGGAAAAAACAACTAAAACAATTCACGCATCTTTGTTTAATC